AAAAGAGAAGAGCCGGTGGGTGCGCGGGGGGGGGGGGGGGGGGGGGGAAGCAGCGTCTTGTTTACCGTCCGCAAGAAGCGGGCGGTGCATCGTACTCGCGCTCTTTTTCCGTCGTGTGCGCGTGGCCGAATCTCGTGCGTGGCTCCTCGTTGGAACGCTGCCCGGCGTCATCCGGGCGAAAGTGCGCCTTGCCGAAATAATGCGTCGATAAATCCTGGCTGGAATTGATTTATAGATGGTCTAGCGGCAGCCGCGCCAGGGATGAGCGCTGATTTAAGGGAAGGCGCGAAAGCAGCAAAAAGCGTCACGACCGAAGCTCCGAGCTCGAGATAAGTTTATTATGTAACGAGCTCGAACTTCTTAGGCTTGGATAATTATCGAGCTTGCGGTATTATTGTTGATCATTGTTGATGGAACTTGTGTAAAGTCGCACTTTTTAATTGGAGCGAAATGAGTAGCTCGGCACGTTTATTTATGCGTATGGTATCGGAAGATCGTCTATTTGAAAGTGAACAAATAGCTGATATAGCTAAAGATTAATAAATATAGTAAGGAAAGTAGACCGTGTGCTGTACCTTTCTTCGCGATAATCTGCGCTCGGAGGAAGGTATCGAATTTAAACTTTGTTACACTACTACTAGTGCATTTAGTTTTAATAGGATGTTGTGTCGCGTCGGAAATGAAAAATCTTATAAGACCCGCAGATACATATAGTTAATCATTCTTCGGGACGCTTCAATATAGCCTGTATTTAAAAATGATATAAATAACGTTAAGGCATTGTAATATCTAAATTGTTATAAGGATTTTTAAGGAATTATTTAAGAAAAGAATGAAACGTTGTTAATTTTAAATTTTTATAATTTTTTTGTTTTACTTTTGTTTTATTTTATTATTATTTTTACGTCAATGGATTGTTTCTTTTTCCGGTTTTTTTTTTCTTCTTCTTTCTTTTTTTTGGTACAGCTTTGGTAAGCATTAAAAATTATTACGAGTAAAAGACGACAAAGTCACTTTAAAAAATAATATTATCATTGAGTATTCATTCATCATACTTCACTTCACTTACTTCACTCCACAGAATATAAAATGTTGCAAATTCAATATTGCACATTCATTCGTACACAATTTCCTGCATACGTATGCTTACAATGCAATTTAGCGTTTGTGTTAAATGCAGATATATAACAAAGAGCATAATAAAATACAAAATCGAAAGAATAATATATTATGAAAAACTTGGATGAGGACAACGAGTCCTTGGTGTTCAGATTCATAACTGCCGATTCGTTCGATACACATTGAACTGAATATCGAAGATCCATATTGGACTGTGAATTACAACGGCATCGAGAAGGATGGTTGCGTTCAGATAAGAAAGTAAGTCAGGAAAATGGTAGGAGAGTCGACTTTAGGCAGTAACAAATTTATATTTAAGTTTCGTGCAAATCGTGTAATGTCAGTTGCGTCATAAAAGTTAAATTTAGCGCTAAAAACTTTGCAACAGTGATTACTTAAATAATAATATACTCTTACATAGTACAGCATTGAAAAGCAATTATTATTAACTATAATGAAAATCATGCCCAACAATATTACAATATCTAAAATTTTTTATTAAAAGAATTGAGGTAAATAAAATTTGATATGAATATTTAGTTTTTACAGTCATATCTTACGTATAGAACATATGTGTTTTAAATTTTAAGTTTTTTTTGTTTTTGTTTTTTTGTTTTGTTTTAATATTGCCTTCTTTTTAATTCTGACTTTCTTTGTCAAATTAATAATACATAAATCCTTTGCATTAACGATAAATTACAATTTAATACAATGCAAATATAAGTTTCAACTATAAGAATTGGCTAGCGATATTCTTTTTACTTTATATTTTGGGAACTTTATATTTTATAAGTAGGAACTTTTACTGTTTGTTATGAAAATACTTAAATCCACTAGATTCCTTTTATGAACAATTTCACTTGTTGCCTATTAACAATATTTCATTCTAACAATGCCACGAATACTTATGTTTTACATTTAAGATATCCGACTGAGAATAACGATTTATGATCGTTATAAAAAAATAGTTAAATTATATTCTTCTATACTAATTATAATTCAGCCAAAATTTAAGAAAATTATTCATCCGAAATGTAATAATAATTGTAGAACAAAATCAAAAAAAAAAAAAAAAAAAAAGATGAAAAAAAAAGACGCTCTTGAATAGAAATATAATGTGGTAATTTTAATCCAAAATTAGGGTATGAACGAACCGTATGAATCTCAAGGATCTTCGTTTTAAACTCTACTTATTGTCTTTATTCGATAAAATTTTTAATTCGTATTGAAAGGTATCATCGTGTACCGAGAGGCAATTAAAAATAATAAAGAGCACACCCATTTCGGTTGCAATTTTTTACTAACGCATAACGCAAGTAACGGTGAGAGAAAAAAACTATCACACGGGAGAATGGGGCAAACATAAAGGGAAATTTACATAATTGAATGAAAAGGCAACTCGGGAGTAGCGGCATTGGTTTAGCGGTTGGGCGAGAGAATGAGTGCGGGGGTGCGGCGAAAAGCCCATAAATATAAATAATTTCGAGTCCAGACTGCGCCATGCGTTATTCAACGTCTCCTCGCTCAGTGTATACATATGAGCCAGTGTCTACGTACTTTTCCAGTTATCTCGTCCTTCCTCCGTACGTCCTCGACCTTCTTTTTTTCCAACCCTGCCTTTGAAGCGTTTATGCGATACCTTGAACATGCTATATTACGAATAATACAGGCACTGATATTGTACGATATATTGTCGATGCAATGTGCTAGCTTAGCTTCTGCATGAGTATGTAAGATGAAATAGCTTGTAAGGCTAAGTTATGGCGTTTTCAAAGCGGTAAATTTTCGATTCCCTCGATTCCTTTAAAATCATCAATATTTTGTTATTCTTTATACTCGTCAAAGCTAGGGGAACAAAAATATTTACATTCATAATCTTCGTCGAATCAATTTTCCCAATCCATGTGTTTGATTATCAGATGGTATTTTACACGAACGAATAAAGCAAAAGCTAAGATTTTTTTTCATGATATAGCGATTGCAATCGAATAAAGCAACGATATATTGCAAAAATTATCTTTAGATTAACGTTTTTTTTTTATTATTCTTGCTATTCTTTTACAGGCTCTTTTTCATCTTCTTTTCTACTTTTTTTCAATTTACATTTTTTAATTTGTAATTATTGTAATTATATTATAAATCTTTTATTTCAAAATATTGTATGATTGAAGTGATATTAGTATTCAAAAAAATGATATTGTACATGTTGAAGTAATATAGTTTTAAAATTTGTATCTCTTATAATTATATATACATTATGATTATTTTATACATGTGTGTGTGTGTGTGTGTGTGTGTGTGCGCGCGCGTTTGTAATTGCGATTTTATAATTATGTTCTTGATTCTTTGTCTTCATTGCGAAAATCTTATCGGATTATGTAGTTACCTGTTCCTTCTGTTCCGCGCAATTTATGGCATGCGACTTTTATGGCCTCACTTCACCACTGCCACGTGCTAAATAGAGCCAAATTTATTTAACGAGCAGTTTGTACAGATTTGGCTATTTTATTAGGAAGCTTATAAAGATGATGGCTATGTAACTTCAATGGAAGTGTTTTAAAATCAATTTGCACAAATCCTTCATAATTAATTCTTTGAATAGATGTTAACTATATTAAATAATATCGACGTGACTAAAACATTTAGTCAATTAAATAATTTAGTTTGCCAAAAAAACAAAAGAGTTAATGTAAATTATTATTTATATTACAATGGAAATAATACGATATTGGCTATATCTCTATGGAATACTAAAAGTGACATAAAATGAAACATAACATCTTTTTTTTTTTTTTTTTTTTTTGTAATTTCATTTTTAAATTTCTACCTCGGTAGTACTTACAGCTTTATGATCACGTTATCATTGTTCGTTAGGTCTAATCTATACAATACCTACGTACTAATTAACAATTGTTATGGGCTCGATATTCACTTATTTTGTTAACTTTTGTATGTCGAAGAAAGAAAGGCAAACTAAATTCGAAATAGTTTATTTATGTAATATATTTAATAATGGATAGTAGTAATTTCTTATGTATATCTCGTTAATGTAAATAAAAATTCTATTGTTTTAATTTGTGTTGCAGGAGAGCGATAACCTTTGGTGGGATGCGTTTGCGACTGAATTTTTTGAAGACGATGCATCGTTAACGCTCACATTTTGCCTAGAAGATGGACCGAAAAGATACAGTAAGTTTTAGTATTTATATTTACGTTTTTAACAATTATTGAATAGCCTCATATTTATGTTTATTTATTATTATGCAGTTTTGAAACGAATCTTTTAATTAAACAAAATTTATCCTTTATTCTTTGACGCGTAAAATATTTCTTCATTGGCCTGGCTCTTTTGATATGCTACAGAATAAATCAACACAGCAGAATGTCCAAGCACAAGCTTTACTTTCAATTACTCATTTTGTTTGCCTAAAAAAGCAAAAAAAAAAAAAAAAAAAAAAAATTAAAAAAAAAAAAAAAAAATAATACGAAAAAAAATCTTTAGGACAAAGAAATAACATTAATTTGACTTTACAATTCATCGGAATCAATTATTTTTACGATTAATTTAATAATTTAAAGAAAAAAAATGTAATAACTTCTTGTGTTAACAATAACGAATAAAAAGTTGACAAAAGTCTGAAAATTCATTTCAAACTTTTTTCAATCGACCTACATATTTCAATTGTTCAGTACGCGTAAGCAAAAATTTATTCTATGCCCTACAATTTAATAATGCATTCATTTTATCTTGCACACATGTCATCTTCGACAGTGCTGCGAAAGTGTGCAGCCACAGTATTTAGTACTTTATTAGAGTGTTTGAACATTTTTTTACAGGACTGTATAGCTCAATGATAAATTGGCATTAGCAGTCGTTGTGCTGTTTAATTGAATTTTTTACATCAACAATTTGCCCGCCATGAAAAACATTACAATTTCAATTGGCTCGCGAGTAGTCATATATGTCGCGCGGTGGTGTGTGTAATTTCTTCTGATCGGTCGTTTCTCACATTCTTATTGAAAGCCGCGACGCCAGATATCGAAGGAAGTACATAGACGCGCACATAGGTTTGCTTAGTGGAAGACTAAACAGTGAGTCTCGCTCGTTTTTTCAGCGATAGGAAGGACGTTAATACCAAGGTACTTCCGCTCGATATTCGAGGGCGGCGTGACGGAGCTTTACTACAACATGAAGCACCCAAAGGAGTCGTTTCACAATACCAGCATAACGCTTGACTGTGATCACTGCGTAATGGTCACGCATCATGGGAAACCGACATTTACGAAGGTAAGCAACTTTCCATTTCTTTTACCGCACTTTTTCAGACGCAGTAGTTAGCGCTGCCTCGGGTAAACAGGTCGAATGTTCGGGTGTGTGTGGCGGTTGTGGCCGTAGGCGAAGAGTAGGGGGGGGGTGGCTCAATGCTTCAAATTTCAACAATTCCATCACTCAATTCCATAGCTTCGGGATTTATAATGAGAAAACTCGGGAGCTCGCTAATGGCAACTAAACGGCCGTCTAAATAAATAGGTTTCGTATAATGAAACTCAACTTAACAACGTCAATTTCATATATTTAATACAAAAATATTTACCTAATTTGAGATCTTATCAGATGGATATTTAACATATTTTTGTTAGCTCTTTTCAAAATAGTCATTTTAATTATTCATTTTTAACATTTTTAACATAAAGAAATAATTATTTATTGAAAATCACGCTTCATATACCATAAGAGCCGTCTGATTTTTCTTAATTACGTCGAAATATCTCAAAGCGAGACTATTGTCGAGACTACAATATCAATAACTAGTGATATTTGTACACGTTTTTTGAAAAAATTTTTAGTATCTACTTTAGTATGATAAATAAATTCAAAAATAATAAATATGATTTTATTACGTACATTAATCACGTTTTAAAATTGATTTATAATACCTTGAAACATCGTTTAAAAATTAGCAAGCATTAAAAATTTGTTGTTTGTTTTTTTTTTTTTAAATATACTTTCGATATTTAATAAATGAAAGGAGTATCCGAGAGAGAGGGAGAGATCCGGGAGTGCGTCGAAACTACTGACTCTCTGATTGACACGATTTGGATTTATGCGCAGGTGTGTACGGAAGGTAGGCTAATACTGGAATTCACTTTTGATGACCTCATGAGGATAAAGTCGTGGCACATGGCAGTAAGGCAGCATCGGGAGCTCGTGCCGAGGGCGATAGTCTCCATGACGCAGGATCCTTCAGCACTCGAGCAGCTTACCAAAAACATCACGAGGCAGGGTATTACCAATTCCACCCTCAACTACCTTAGGGTAAGCTATTACTATTTATTGCTATTTTGGCGAGAAAGATTCGCAAGTATTTCAATGTCCATATCAATCAATTGGATGGAAATATAATTTTAAATATCTCAAAATGCAATGTTCGAAGTCATAATGAAAGATTAACGAGTGATTATTGGATGATTTTTAAATTATAAAAGTAAATGCAGTGATATTTAGAAATCGTTAATTCATTAGTTAAATTAATGTTATGTGAATGTGCCATTGAATATCCAATATAAACATTCCATTAAAAGTATATCATACGTTATATTATAAATTTTACAGTAACTGAATGTTATTAATTTTTTTTCTTTTTTTTTTTTTTTTTTTTTAGCTGATAGGTTAAATTATTTGGATGAATAACTAATTGAATTAGACGATAATTAATTATTAATAATAATAGTAAACAGAAGTATTGAAATGTGAGACCTTAATTATTACATGTCATAGTCTTTATTGACTTAAATTACAATTACCGTAAAATTAAAATAGAATTTATTTTATAATTCGCGTACTGCTAGCTCTAAAGCTACAAAATATTTACCTTAAAAAGGTATTTCATTAATAGCCTCTATCCGCAAAATCTCATCTACATTAGTATATTCTAGTTATATTTAGAATATTTAACTTACTTAATTAAATTATAAAGAATTTTTGAGTTGTAATTTTCTTTTTAATAAATACAGAATTACTATAGTAAAAGTTCATCAATCGGTAAATATTGTAAGCCTATTTTATATTAATGAAAAGATTAAAAATTCACATATTGTATGATTCGTATATTCGTGTATTCACATATGATTCGTAATAAGAAAGAGACTTTTTTTCTCGAGTACCGAGAACATTGTAAAGAAAATTAACAGACTTAACTATTTAAAGGATCATATAGTTTAAGAATAGTCTTATAGGATTTGCAATGAGATACAATGTCGATTCGAGTCATTATTTAACTTTACTTGGATTTTATTAATACTAAAAATACCAAATAGAATCGATTGATTGGCTTGAGTGCTTTTGATCAAATCCTATTGCTATAATCATATTAAGGACGTTAAAGATATATATATATATATATATATATATTAATTTCAATTTTCGATTCTATCGTTGAAATGTCTCGTGTTTTACGATTTAGTGCATCATTATTACGCATAACATAAAGTCTCAAATTTTTATGAATAATTTATTATAAATAATTCATTAATCACGAGGCAAATAATTAGCGGGACGGTAAGAGACTGTTTTGTCTCCCCCGTTTCTTATGGACGAAATAATATTAATAAACAAAAGGCCTACCGCGGAACATTTATATACAGTGAAAGGGCTGCTAGTTTAAACTTGAAATCAATGAAATAATACGCGTTTTCATTGACTAATTTAATGATACGAACTCTCGCACATCGCTTATCATCCTTATTCTTTGACTTCACAAAAATAAAAGAAAAGAAAAGAAGATGAAAAAGAGAAAAAGGCTTTACTCGTATAAAGCAATATGAAAGTCATATAATACGTACGGTGTACCGACATAAATTCAAAGGGACTATTGTCTCTCGAAAATCCCTTACTCATTCGCAGGGTGTACGCGTAGTTCACCCCGCCTAACGAGTTTCAACACATAATCGAAAGATTAAAAACTCGACGGCCTCATCGACAGTGTCATTGTAAAGCAATCGAGTACGCGGAGGCCAACGTAGCGCCAATGAATTGATCGGGATGAAAGTTAGAGGGCACGCGGACGGTTCTACCGCCATTACCTTTGAAAATCTCGAAAAACTCAAGATAAATTAACGATATCGACTTCTCTGTTCCAGTTGTGCGTCATCTTGGAGCCGATGCAGGAGCTGATGTCGAGGCACAAGGCCTATGCCCTATCGCCGCGGGACTGCCTCAAGACGACGCTGTTCCAGAAGTGGCAAAGGATGGTTGCCCCGCCGGGTAAGAGAGGTAGACGGACAGTTGCTTTACATGAGAACGACCAGCCAGTGGATCGCCAGTCAGGATGCCGGGTCTGCTACGGTTCACATGACCCGCGAGAGATATTATAGACCACCAACTTGTTATCGTTTACTTTGTTTTCCCCTTATTATTTTCTCGTTCCGTGCTTATCGGTCGGCGTTGGAGTTGGTGGCGCGGATGGAGGCTCAGAGGTTCCTTCCACATCCGTCGCTTTCCACTTTCCACTTCACTTGTCACTTTCCATTTTCGGTGGTCTTCGTTTTCGGAGCCCCCTTGGCCCCTGGCACCCCCTATCTAATTAGCGGTGTCATTTATAAAGTCGCTCGGTATTTACGGACTGACGGGCGTTATTTTGACGAGAAGGTAGTTTCTTAGCCTCTTACTTGGAGCGGCTAGAGAAAGACGTCTAGATAGACCAATGGGATCGACCAATTATATGTCGAAGATTGGCATTTAAAGGCTGAAAATTTGGTCGCTTGTAAGCCTCGATCAATTTCATGTTTAACGTTTTTACTCGGCCGAGTACCGTTTTCCTCTATGCACTCGCGTCCCTTGCACGAAAAGAGTATCATTCACTTTATTTCCGACGAAACGTTAATATTACAATCAGACTTTGTTTTATGAAACAAAGAATGTAAAAATAGGAAAAGAGATAATGGAAATAAACAGAATGGACATCAATGTTTAAATATCTGCCGCGGTTAAGTTACATTATCTCGCGTCCAATTGAAATACGAAGAAATGACAAAATTTCGCCGAGATGAAAGGAATGTCTGATGGACATTTCGCACCACGAATAAGATTCCCGTAGAAGCCGAGTATTGCAAATTTGTATATAGAAATTTTAACCAGGAAAATGTCGGTAAATTTCATTTTCAGCCGGTCGAATATGAATTTTCACCTTCTATAATTCGATTTCCATTGAATGTTTCGTAGCGTTTTGTTCCATTTGACGCGTATAAGTCGCTCGTGGCGCAAGTGCAATAAGCTGACAATTCACACGCTCCCATGACGTAGTCACGCACATTTTTGCAAAATAAAAAAAAAAACAAAACAAAAACAAAAAAAAAACAACGAAAGGGATTGAAAGAAAGAGCAAAAGAAAACGTAAAGAAATGCAGGTAACTCCAGGGTCGCGATAGATCGTAATGGATCGTAGTGCGACCTCAGTCAAAGAGACAAAATCGATCAAGGACTCGGTTACTACGAAATTCAAAATTCCGGCCTCCTTAATCAACCACGCGCAGCCTAACCGTGTATTAGTGAAAAAATATAAATAATCGGTTACGTCCCGTGGAGAGAGCTTATTGCCGATGTTACTTTCTCGCCCGCAGGATTGCCTTCCTCGGCGACGACGAGGTGCTCCCCTTGAGTGAAAAGCGTCACACTCGGCTACTCGCCGCCCCGCTCCGCAGTAGCGCGTCTTATCCGCTCGGGAATCACATGCGCGCACACCGAGCGACGCACCTTTCCGCTCTTGCCGTCTTTCCCTTTTTTTCGCATCAGTCCTCTCAGCCGTCTCTGTCTGGCCTTTCTTTCGCCGTCTGCACGCAGTCTTTGCGGTCACAGTTCCTGCGCGATTGCGCTAATCAGCTATTAAATATATAATGGTGCTTCGTTTACTAGGGCTGGAGCTCCACTGCTCCGACTTCCGAGTTATCGTTTGACTCTTTTTACATTTAATATTCTCATTTTAAGCGTTATTGTATCCTCACCAATATAGAGAAGCTCCGTATGCATTTTGTGCGTTCGGGCCCATTTGGAAGTTTCCCGCTTTTACGGCCATTGTAAACTATCGGCTACTTACGATTTTTCCCTTTGAAGAGAATTTCAGGCGGTAGAGATGCGATATGTACTCTGCTATCTCGTAATGCAAATCGCGGGCTCTTTAATTTGACAATATCGAGGCATTCTCATTTTATCAAATTCGTTATCAACTGCACCTCAAAGCGTCGACAATTAGATATGCACAAGCAAACACTTTTTCTGAACAAATGCATCCAAATTAGCAAAAACAATAGAGATTCAATGATAATAACTATATTTAATATACCGTATGCTTATTATAATTCAATTTTATGTTAAAACAGACGTTAATTTTTATTTAAATACATATTAATATTCAGGATACGACGAGTTAAAATCTAAATAATATTTCCATACAGCTTTAAGAATTCCTTACTTCTTATGTATTGTAAGTGTTTTTATTAACTTGTAAAATTATCGTAGCTAAGCTATATTATCATTTATTAATAATTATAAAGTTTCGAAGCAATATTGAGTTAAATTCATACGCGAATTTATAGTATGCCCGAAAGTTTCGGGAGTACGCGCAACGCGAAAGAAAAGTACAAAACAATTACGCGTGATTCCAATCGACCCACATTCTCTCTCTATCTCTCTCTATCTATCTATCTATCTATCTATCTATCTATCTATCTATCTATCTATCTATCGATCTATCTATCTATCTATCTATCTATCTATCTATCTATCTATCTATCTATCTATCTATCTCTGCCCGTCTTTGCCTCTCCCGTCCACCCTTTTATCACTCTTTCAGAAGTTCATTTCTTTTACTTGGCCGACCGAGGAACCGGTGACGCAAAGAGGTCGACGACTAAAAAGCTTAAAAAGAGCCGGGAGGAGTCTCGGGCTTCCTCCACCTCCACCTCCACCTTCGCCTCCGCCTTCACCTCCTCCTTCAGATCGCCTCTCCTTGCCTTCTCTCTTCTTACCTCCCTCCCTCCCTTTAACCTGCCACTCCACCGTATCTTTCCGCCCCGCCCAAGCTAAAAAGCGCAAAAAAACGGCCGCGGGTGCCGAAGAGGCAACGGCTCTTTCGCACTCGAGTTGGTACCTACGAGCGTATTTCCTTTGCAAGGTCGACGGAGCCTTGAGAGCAAGCGTGCGCGACATTGCGCAACAACGCGACTCCTGTGTCCTATATACCTGCGCACGTCTCACTCATTGGCCTGTGAGCTGTGTCATCGCGGGGAGGGGGAGGGGGAGGGGGGTGTGTGGCTCGTTCGGCTTATTTGGAATGCATTTGGAATGCATTTGGATCTGATGAAGGGGACTTTTTTTTTTCTTTTCATAAGACGATGACTTTCTATCGTTGCCATTGCTCCATTTTTCCTTTTCACAATTCAAGACTTGTTCAGAATTTTTTTTCTCCATGTTCTTTGAGGAAATTCTCCTACTCGCTGTTGCCGATAACATCGCAATTATATTTGCTTTGCATTAATTCGTAACGTTATAATCCAGAGTACTCGTTATTACTCTCAACTTTTGTTTTTTAAATTTTAAGATAGAACATCGTAGTTGTAAATGCAGCAAAAAAAAAAAAATTGTTGACAAACTGTAACTTGTAAATAAATGATCGATATCGATGTATAGTTTTGAAAAATAATCGGAGATCAATTATTGTACTACTGTTGGTTAACGGAGAATATTTGCCAATAACGACGAGTTTTGTGTAATTCTTGATGTGATTTATTATCTTGAAGTATTATTCCTCACTCCTGCTTTTTTGCATTTGCTGTTTTCGCAAATTCGAAGATCTCGTACTTGGTTGCTTGGAGGATAAAGTTTATGTTTGTTATTATTATTGTTTATGTTTTTGCATTTGCTTTGTATTTGTTTTTGTTTTTGTTTTTGTTTCTGTTTTTCTTTTGTTTTAATGGAAGCGGAAACGAAATTACTCTGACGATGACAGTGACACCTTGCAATGAAGTAAATCGAGTACCATATGTAATCAGCCATATGCATGCGTTGCCTGTATATCAAAATTTTTATAATGTACATACGTAAGAGACCTTTGATACTGAGAAAGGTCCACAGCTGGGTAGTTTTTATTAGCTGAGCTTATATCGATAGCCATGCCTATTGCTCTTCTCTCATTTTTATCAATCCTTGAACGATAAGTGCCGTATAATTTTTTTCTTTTCTTTTTTTACTTTTTATTTTATTTTATTTTTGTCTTTCCTTAATGATTATGCACCCATCACGACCTCACTAATCAAATACTTGTTTTTTCATATTATAATGCGCAGTAGTAAGGACTTTTAGCAAAATCTATTATACAGTTCTTGTC